AAAAAAAAAAAAAAAAAAAAAAAAAAAAAAAAAAAAAAAAAAAAAAAAAAAAAAAAAAAAAAAAAAAAAAAAAAAAAAAAAAAAAAAAAAAAAAAAAAAAAAAAAAAAAAAAAAAAAAAAAAAAAAAAAAAAAAAAAAAAAAAAAAAAAAAAAAAAAAAAAAAAAAAAAAAAAAAAAAAAAAAAAAAAAAAAAAAAAAAAAAAAAAAAAAAAAAAAAAAAAAAAAAAAAAAAAAAAAAAAAAAAAAAAAAAAAAAAAAAAAAAAAAAAAAAAAAAAAAAAAAAAAAAAAAAAAAAAAAAAAAAAAAAAAAAAAAAAAAAAAAAAAAAAAAAAAAAAAAAAAAAAAAAAAAAAAAAAAAAAAAAAAAAAAAAAAAAAAAAAAAAAAAAAAAAAAAAAAAAAAAAAAAAAAAAAAAAAAAAAAAAAAAAAAAAAAAAAAAAAAAAAAAAAAAAAAAAAAAAAAAAAAAAAAAAAAAAAAAAAAAAAAAAAAAAAAAAAAAAAAAAAAAAAAAAAAAAAAAAAAAAAAAAAAAAAAAAAAAAAAAAAAAAAAAAAAAAAAAAAAAAAAAAAAAAAAAAAAAAAAAAAAAAAAAAAAAAAAAAAAAAAAAAAAAAAAAAAAAAAAAAAAAAAAAAAAAAAAAAAAAAAAAAAAAAAAAAAAAAAAAAAAAAAAAAAAAAAAAAAAAAAAAAAAAAAAAAAAAAAAAAAAAAAAAAAAAAAAAAAAAAAAAAAAAAAAAAAAAAAAAAAAAAAAAAAAAAAAAAAAAAAAAAAAAAAAAAAAAAAAAAAAAAAAAAAAAAAAAAAAAAAAAAAAAAAAAAAAAAAAAAAAAAAAAAAAAAAAAAAAAAAAAAAAAAAAAAAAAAAAAAAAAAAAAAAAAAAAAAAAAAAAAAAAAAAAAAAAAAAAAAAAAAAAAAAAAAAAAAAAAAAAAAAAAAAAAAAAAAAAAAAAAAAAAAAAAAAAAAAAAAAAAAAAAAAAAAAAAAAAAAAAAAAAAAAAAAAAAAAAAAAAAAAAAAAAAAAAAAAAAAAAAAAAAAAAAAAAAAAAAAAAAAAAAAAAAAAAAAAAAAAAAAAAAAAAAAAAAAAAAAAAAAAAAAAAAAAAAAAAAAAAAAAAAAAAAAAAAAAAAAAAAAAAAAAAAAAAAAAAAAAAAAAAAAAAAAAAAAAAAAAAAAAAAAAAAAAAAAAAAAAAAAAAAAAAAAAAAAAAAAAAAAAAAAAAAAAAAAAAAAAAAAAAAAAAAAAAAAAAAAAAAAAAAAAAAAAAAAAAAAAAAAAAAAAAAAAAAAAAAAAAAAAAAAAAAAAAAAAAAAAAAAAAAAAAAAAAAAAAAAAAAAAAAAAAAAAAAAAAAAAAAAAAAAAAAAAAAAAAAAAAAAAAAAAAAAAAAAAAAAAAAAAAAAAAAAAAAAAAAAAAAAAAAAAAAAAAAAAAAAAAAAAAAAAAAAAAAAAAAAAAAAAAAAAAAAAAAAAAAAAAAAAAAAAAAAAAAAAAAAAAAAAAAAAAAAAAAAAAAAAAAAAAAAAAAAAAAAAAAAAAAAAAAAAAAAAAAAAAAAAAAAAAAAAAAAAAAAAAAAAAAAAAAAAAAAAAAAAAAAAAAAAAAAAAAAAAAAAAAAAAAAAAAAAAAAAAAAAAAAAAAAAAAAAAAAAAAAAAAAAAAAAAAAAAAAAAAAAAAAAAAAAAAAAAAAAAAAAAAAAAAAAAAAAAAAAAAAAAAAAAAAAAAAAAAAAAAAAAAAAAAAAAAAAAAAAAAAAAAAAAAAAAAAAAAAAAAAAAAAAAAAAAAAAAAAAAAAAAAAAAAAAAAAAAAAAAAAAAAAAAAAAAAAAAAAAAAAAAAAAAAAAAAAAAAAAAAAAAAAAAAAAAAAAAAAAAAAAAAAAAAAAAAAAAAAAAAAAAAAAAAAAAAAAAAAAAAAAAAAAAAAAAAAAAAAAAAAAAAAAAAAAAAAAAAAAAAAAAAAAAAAAAAAAAAAAAAAAAAAAAAAAAAAAAAAAAAAAAAAAAAAAAAAAAAAAAAAAAAAAAAAAAAAAAAAAAAAAAAAAAAAAAAAAAAAAAAAAAAAAAAAAAAAAAAAAAAAAAAAAAAAAAAAAAAAAAAAAAAAAAAAAAAAAAAAAAAAAAAAAAAAAAAAAAAAAAAAAAAAAAAAAAAAAAAAAAAAAAAAAAAAAAAAAAAAAAAAAAAAAAAAAAAAAAAAAAAAAAAAAAAAAAAAAAAAAAAAAAAAAAAAAAAAAAAAAAAAAAAAAAAAAAAAAAAAAAAAAAAAAAAAAAAAAAAAAAAAAAAAAAAAAAAAAAAAAAAAAAAAAAAAAAAAAAAAAAAAAAAAAAAAAAAAAAAAAAAAAAAAAAAAAAAAAAAAAAAAAAAAAAAAAAAAAAAAAAAAAAAAAAAAAAAAAAAAAAAAAAAAAAAAAAAAAAAAAAAAAAAAAAAAAAAAAAAAAAAAAAAAAAAAAAAAAAAAAAAAAAAAAAAAAAAAAAAAAAAAAAAAAAAAAAAAAAAAAAAAAAAAAAAAAAAAAAAAAAAAAAAAAAAAAAAAAAAAAAAAAAAAAAAAAAAAAAAAAAAAAAAAAAAAAAAAAAAAAAAAAAAAAAAAAAAAAAAAAAAAAAAAAAAAAAAAAAAAAAAAAAAAAAAAAAAAAAAAAAAAAAAAAAAAAAAAAAAAAAAAAAAAAAAAAAAAAAAAAAAAAAAAAAAAAAAAAAAAAAAAAAAAAAAAAAAAAAAAAAAAAAAAAAAAAAAAAAAAAAAAAAAAAAAAAAAAAAAAAAAAAAAAAAAAAAAAAAANGGACGTACTTTTCCTTTGTTTAAGGGTATTTGGGCAGTTTATTCTCTGTTATATTCTGTACAAGTAAATACTGTACAGGTACAGTACATTATTTTCTGAGGAAATACTCGTACTTATTTTTTTTAACCCCATTCCCGATAACTCGGCATTTTCACAAACTCGGCCACCCTTCGGTCCACATTAGGTCGAGTTTTCGAGGTTCTACTGTATTTTCGATATTATTCCTAATCTTTCAATAGAAAAAATTTAACAACGAGTTGCATAACTTTTTCGGCTGTTATGAGTTTTTATTTGAAAAAAAAGGTTTCATATATTATTAAGCAAAATAAATGAAATTGTGTGTGGCGCCATATATTACGAGATTTTGTTATAAAAAACTTTTTATATCTTTAATTATTATACAATGACAAAAAGATGAATTTTGAGGGTCGGGATAAGCTTTATAAAAAAAAAAAAGTATACACGTTAATAACAAATAAAATCAAATGACACTCCTGTCATATCTCGACAGGAGTGTAATTCCCTCTGTCCCTCTGTCTCCCCACCCCTCGACCTTTAACCACAAAAATTTAGTAGCATCGCTGAAAATCAATCCTTCCACAAAGGTATCGTCTTCACAAAGCTATAGCATTGATCCGCTGAATCCAGCCCAACTTGATTCTTATCCGTAAGTATTTGTAAGAATTGCTGTTTTGTACTACCTAGCCTTTAAATTTTTTTTTCGTTTTGTTTTTTTTAGTGGAATACATCAAACAGTCGATTTAGGAATCCCAAGTCTTGCGCTTCAACTTGCAAAGATTCTGAACAAAGGTGACTCGGTAAGATTTAAAGGCTCCAAATGAAGGGTTTTTCGACTCCCTCCTTCCGAATTATAGACTCCTTGTACGACCAGAAAAGTCAAACGAACCATACCTGTACATGCGATCATTCGCGAGACATTCACCTCCAAAGGTCAGTTCGGTAAATGTTTACCTAGGTAGCACCAATGGCGACGCCTCCGTTACCGGAGCTACGGTCGTTTTCAGTACTTTTTTAAAGTGAAATCGATGTTTTATTTCATATTTTTTACATAAATCACACCACCCCTATAATTGTTGACCCTTCGCGTGATATTGGTCTCTGAAGATCAGTTTTTAACACTTATTAGTCTACCCACTATCCTCTGTGCTTCGCATGTGCGCTCTGTGCTCGTACCTTGGCGCCTGGGTGGCCAAGGTGGGTGTGGGGCTAGCCTCCACACCTCCCTAAAACTATATAACGTCAAGTACTTCACGAACAGTCGAGTGGGCTATTCGAAGCCGGCATATTCATGTGGACTAAATACTGTAGTTAAACGCGATTATTCTTAGTGGAGCGACGTGATTGGCGATCTCGCGAGACCCGAATTTGGTGGGCTGTATCTCGCGAAGAGTCGCTTGTAGAGGTATGGTTCCTTTGACGTTTTGCTCCTATAGGTATGCTCTACAGCTCCGATAAGGTCCCAAACGTCTCATTCAGCCGGTGAGTCTAACTCGATCCACTGTTGTTATTACGAATTATGTATAGTTAATCAGGACATCCTGCCCCTAAGCTTTTTATATTTGGTCTTGATTTTCATGTATCTAACTCCGTCCTCTAGATTAAAGAAGGACAGACAAACGGATAGACAACAGTGGGAATTTATAGGTCTACAATTTAAATAAACAAGGAGATGCGCACCAACGTTATTAATTTAAATACATATAATATTCATATTCATCTGTATTCATATTTAAATAAATTTTATATACACATACGTATGTATTATATTTACTGTATATACTAAATAAAAAATTTTCATTAAATTAATTTCATTTTAATTTGCAACTTCTATTTTATGGCGGCGCAGAAATATATTGAACAAAGGCTCGTATTATCTACGGGGAGGCTTGATTTAAATAAAATAAAATTAAATATATATCAAATATTTTTATGGATTTTTGTACCTCTCTCAACTTATCTAGTAGGGTCTCGTGCGATGGCTTAGGTTTTGAATTTACTCGTTATCAGCACTAATAGGGGCAGCCAAATATCTATAGCACGCAGGCGGCTAACAGTCCAAAACCGGGCTTGTACAGACTTATGGAACATCTTGAATATTTTTTTCTGGGATTGTACAGGATGCAATTCACTTAATTTATTAGCGAAGTAATATTATACTTATGTTACGTGACTGGATATTCATTACGAATGGGTTGTTTCTCGAACTAGGATTGCAACAAAGGCCTGCTTTCTATTCTCAACAGAAAAACGCTTTTAAAACTTCTCTAATTTGAACAAATTGCTTAACTGTATTTTATTATTATTTGTCGAATAAGTTTATAAAATATACATATCGTTTTATCTTCGTACATATTTCTCTTTAATAAACACATAATAAAAGAAGTTATAATTCATAATTATCGACACTAACTGTTTTGGAATCTCTATGATCCGCTATTCTAGATATTTTTCCTTTCTTCTTTGGCCTAAAATAAAGAAATAAAATAATTAAAAATATCATTTATACAGTAATTCTTATAAAAAACTATGATATTCACAAATAATTAAACGAAGTTTTTAAATAACTTACTTGGTAAAAGGAAATTGACAAAACTTGGTATCTTTACCAAATGCTTCTCCTTCTTCTATTGTCTCTGGTAGATTTTCGTTCATTGTTTCGGGCAAAAATAGATTACACATTCCACCAAATATAGATAATATTCCCAATATTATGAGAGGTAAAGCTCTACCATATAAAGTTCCCTGCAATACAATACGATATTGTTTATTCTATTTATTATTCTAATTTATATTATTACGAGTTACATACCAGATAGAGAATGTGAGGTGCAATCATAGATCCTACACTTCCAATTAACGTAGCTGTAGCTAAAGCTGAAGTTCTTAAAACAGTTGGAATCAATTCGCTGCCGAAGACGTAAATTGCAGAATACGAACCGGCAATTGCAAATTTCCCGATGTTAGCCAAAATGACAATAGTCCAAGTGTAGCCTTAAAAGTAAAATAATACTTACAAAATATATAAACACAAATAATAGAGATAGGAAAAAAGAAGTTTACTTCCTGGAACGATTCCTGCACATATGCAAGATATTCCTGCCAATACCATAGAAACTAGCATTATAAATCGTCTACCATATTTTTCCATTCCCCACCATGCCGCTAGATCTCCTGGAAGTTCAACCAGACCGGAAATGGTTAATGCTAAATAATCGTTGATGTTAAACAATGTAGAACCGAAAAGAAGGCCAACATACACAGTAGCATTCACCAACCAACCAAAAGTAACTAATAAAAAATTCTTTCGTATATTAGGATACTTTATAATATGTACGAAAGTAAATTTTATATCTTTCTTGTTCTTTTGATTAGCGATCCCTTTAGATGCCTGTTAAATAATAAGTTATAATGAATTATTTGGAAATCTTTACATACGATGTTTTGTAATTAAATTCCACAGCTTTTAAAGAAAATAGCGTATTAAAATGAAAAAAATATATTTTAATACTGTTTAAACCACTTTAAAGTATCGATACCGGCCAGTATTGGCATGGGGGTATCGGAATTGGAAATCTTAACCGGCTGTCGCTGTTCAGTCTGTCACGTCGCCTTCCAGTTGTTCTTACTGCTGTAAAGGTGCTGTTTCATTATAGTAAAAACCGAGTAAGCCCAGAGTAGAAGTTAATATTTTGTTGCTTAGCCTATTCCAGGAAATTGAATTCTGGCTATCTGGTTCATAAGTCAGTGCGTTATTCAGTACTTCAGTTTACACTCGTATGATGTCTCATGTACTGTACGCAAAAGAAGCCACAGAACTACAGTCCTGCTAATGGGCTCTGTGGGTACTAATATAGATGGGTTAGGAATGGATAAGAAATCATTGATGAAGAGGTAAAAGAATGTCTTTACATGGATAGTTCTTTATTGTGTTCAGATTTTACAAATATCAGTGCAAACAAGTACTTATATAAAAATCTAGCAACAAGTTGCTTAACTTTCCCGGCAACATTTGGTTCCATCTGTTAAGATATTTTATTTTATAAACTTGTTATATTTTTAACTATTATATATAAAATGGCAAAAAGCTTAATTTTAAGGGTAGGGTGGGTTTTATAAAAAATTGTGAATTATAATAACGAGTCAAAATCGTTATTAAGATCAACGTTACTCGAGATACGACACAGGAATTCCCTTCATCTCCACACTTTCTCGATCTTTAATCACCAAAATTTAATAGCATCAATCCTTGTAATATATAAACCTCCCTGCAAAATTTCATAACTTTTCAACAGAAAGTCCAAGAGTTATTAAGCTTCAAAGTAGGTGAACAAAATCGTGTACCCCACACACACTAACATCCATACACACAGAAAAATCCCCCGAATTTTTTTACAGAATACAATTGTATATAATAACAATTTACTAACTCTAGCCCCAGTGAAAATATTAAAAAGTTACTAATAAAACAAAATAACATTATATACAGAATATCCTTCAGCTGCCAACCGAATTACCAATACATAGGTGAAACTTGAAAAACCCAAAAAAATCAAACTAAAAGAGCATTCACGTGCTATTAAATTTAATTACACTAATTCTGCTGTAGCCATACATTGCAATAGTAAAAATTGCGAGATTTCACTCAATAATCTAAAAATCTAAAAATACTCAGGCTAGAAAAAAATATTATAAAAAGGAAATTATTTGGACATTTGGAAATTACTAAATAAAAACTTTTAAAATTAACTTAAACGACGGTCTAACTATAAGTCACACCTAGAAATCACTCCTTCTTAACAGGTAGTATCTATCCACAAGTGATTCCATCCCACCCCACCTACTCCAGATGACCCCCATCTGGTGAAGCTATTCTGCCTCAAGGATGATCCGAACTCTGCCCCCCTCTACCTTATATAACGTTAAATACTTACTCTTTTGGTATTTTAAACACCACCCACCTCGTATTTTCTACCCATAACAATCTATACCATTTTATTTCCTCCAATAAAACAACTGTTCCTTGTATAATATGTTACTGAAAAAACCAATAGCTTTTAATTTTTTAAAAAGCTATTGCTGTTTACAGTATAGCAGTGGTTCTCAACCGGGGGGGGGGGTACATGTACCCCTAGAGGTACGAGCGTAAATCGAAGAGGTACTGTACTTGAGAAACAACTAATGGGCTAATGGGGTACATCAACGAAAAAGGTTGAGAATCACTGCAATATAGAAACCTCTATATCTCGAAAGCTTCTATCTCGAATTTTTTTTCCTCGTTCCCATGAGATTCGCGATAGATATACAGATAGATTCAACTGTATTATATAAAATTGAGGTTATTTTTGTTTTTCATTTACCATAAATGTTTTGAGAAAGTTCGGTGGTATTTTTTTCTTATTCACTTTTGCTATCTTTTGAACAATGACTTCTGCTTCATCAATTCGATTCTGTGCAACAAGCCATCTCGGTGATTCAGGAACAAAACTAAAAGAAGATTCAGTTAGTATTTTATAGTAAATAAGATAGAAATATTCACAAAATATATAAAAAATAGCAGGAAAGTCCAAATGAACAACCTAATTTAAAGTACGTATATGCCACACATCTAATTTATACTGGAAATAATATAACTTATATGCATACAGAGGAATAACTGAAGATGAGAATAGAAAGAAAAAAAAGCATAATTTTCGGAAATATAATTAATTAAATATCTATTGATCCTCATTGTGTGATTCTTATCTTTGATGATTACTTTTATTTCATTTGGCCTTTTCTATTATTTAATTATTGTAAAAACCTTTATGTTGTTTCCTAAAATAAAGTAAAATAAAAATAATTTCTACTTACTACCATATAACCAAGAAAATTACTAGAGGAACAGAAGTTATTAAGGATAATATAAACCAGTTTCTTGAGAGATACGCTAAAAGGCACATGAGTGCGATGACAAATGGAAACGTTGAGCATATACACATTCCAGATGTCGATCGTTTCTGTGGTTTAACCAGTTCCATAGCTAAAAATACAAAAAAAAAATGTTTCTAATGAATATAATTTCCGACAGATATTTTAATTACATTTAAAAATCAAAATACTAATTATTATACATATAGTAGGCCTATATTATATAGAGTATTCATCATAATTTTCATATACACATGATAGAACAGATATCAAGAGTTTATATTTGACTGAATCAGGATGAATTAGTTTATGTTATGTGCTTTTTAGATAAACAGTTATTCAAAGTTAGACTTTGTTAATATTCGTTTAGGCAATATCAGAATAAAAAAATTAGTGTCATTATTTAAACCACTATTTTGTAAACAGAATTTTAAAAACCAAGTGAATTACATAACCAGAGAGTAATAGTTATTGCTGTGTTATATATACAATGTTTATCTGGATTAATAGAAAAAATATTATATATATATACGCTATATGATATAATGGAAAGCTTCTTCTAAGGACAACTTGATTGAGAAACATTTATCATGATTATCACCTTCTGTAAACGTGTGACTAAAATCATATACGTATACTTACCCAAAACAAAAGGAATCTGGAAAATCACAATGCTAGTTGTGCCAATTATGGTTCTATATACAATAAATGCGATATAATTAGGTGGAAAACATGATAGAATACCTATGATGATGTATACAGACAGCAGGACATAAAAAGTTGGCTTTCTTCCATATCTATTCAAAAACGACATTTTATCCTTATGACATAAACGAAAGTAGATTTAATTTTTACTTACACATTTGCCAAATTGCCAAAAACGATACTGCCGATAATGGTACCGAAGAAAAAACTAGATTTTGCTATGGCTTGAAGCCATCTATCATCGCATACTACGTCCATCTGTAGGCAGATAAATAACAATAAAAACGGTATCCTATAAACTACGTATACCATAATTGAATGGTACCTAACTGAAATGGATGATTAAAATAATTTATTTATTATTATTTGTGTTAATAATGTAAATAAATGTAAATTCTTAACTATTCACACTATTGATAAAATAAAAATTGATGAGAATGAAAAGTTTATTAGAAAAGTAATTTCTATGCAGAAATTCAATAATTTTATTTAAAAGCGACATAAACTAATGTAATTTCTGATAAAGAGCACCATTCAATAAGGAAAATCATGATGTAAAAAATTCATGTGAAAAATCTTATTTAAATTAATATGCAATCTCCATATCTTGATACTGAACTTACGAGTTTATCTTTGATTTTAATTTTATTTTAATTAGAAATATTATATAGACAGTAGGATGAGCTTTCATTTTCACAAAATATATAATTAAATAAAAAAATTTTTTGTGTTTTTTTTTTAAATATGTAATATTTAACAGAGCTTTCGGTCGAACTGAGAGAAAAAATAGTAATTTTTCAAGATTATTAGCGGGACAACTGTTATTTTCTCTGGTACTTCGATCAAAAATCGATGTTAGTATATTTTATAGAAAAGTTTTAGTTTATATAAAATATCTCTGAAAGCCGTATATATTATATTCGATATGTTTTTATACACAGGGAAATTCTGAAACAATGGGACAAACTTCGCGGGATGATTCCTCACTGGAAAATAAAGAAAAAAGGTGTATAAAAATATTTCCCGAAATGAGAGATTTTCGAGAAATTAAACTTTTATGACAGTATTAGGTGCAAGACATTTTATTGCATACGCTTTTACTAACTCTTTCGATTACATAGCTTCTTCGATTAGAAGTGTTTAAAATACCCTCCACGTTTGGATCTATCAGAGCATGAATTACTGCACCTTTTTAAAGGTACAAGGCTCCCAGCGAATAGTGGTTTAGGCGTCGGCAATATGTTGCAACAGCGTGTCTGCATTGCCAATGTGAGTAGCATACTGTAGTACCGCTTTTCTCAACCGGTCCATCATGGTGTGGGAATTTTAGGGGTCCGCGACAGGAGAAACGTTAAGAACCACTGCTCTATTCTCTTTGGTCCCACAGATTTAAAAAAAAAAACAAAAGGGATTTAGATTAGGAGAGCATGGAGGCCGTACCACCAAACAACTCTATCTATCCATCTGTGCAGATGGGTATAGTTTAGTACAGCATGTGCGTATGCTCACATTAACATTAAGAGTTACGTAAGAGCGTTAATTAATAAGAGAGTTATTTAGTAAAATCTGTCTTGCACCTAACACTGTTATAAGAGGTTTAATTTCTTAAAATTTCTCACTTTCGGACATATGTTTATATGTCTTTTTTTATTATCCTGTGAGGAATCATTCCTCGAAATTTGTTCCACTATTTCTGAATTATCTTACATAACTTTCAGACATGTTTCTAAAGACATTGTCTCTCTAAATTATCATGAATAATAGATTCTGTAGGTTCTTCTTAAGTTTCTTCAAATAAAAAGTAATGAAAAGTCAATTAAATCTATTTTCTAAAAACTTCTATAGAAATCCTTCAGGCGTGAAAAATCAATTTTCAAAAAGTTATTTTGCAACCTATACTATCAATTGTATCCAGGATTGAATGACATTGCTATTTATCTGTAGTTTTTAGCTTATAAAACTTGAAAGATACACTTCGTTGAAATTGAATATGTTTTTTTAGAATAAAAATTCTCTTCGTGTTACTTTAATTAGCCCATTGAAAATCTTAGTGACAGTATACTAGCTACATCGAAGAATAGCCTATAATTACTGAGGAACTAGTTTTAAAAGTTACACAAGGTTAGATAGCTTTCCCATGTTTTACTTCATATTTGATATTATAGAAATACACAATTTATATATTTGTAAACAGAAATAAAATTACATTGTTTAAGTACATTATCTCGAAAGACGTTTATAAAATTAATGTAAAAATCATAATTAAACACATTTATAAATTTGTTTGTAATAATTAATTAATTA